AAGAGCAGACTGTAGAAGAAAGCAGTAGAGTGTGAAAAGTGGTCAGTGTGTCCTCCAGCAGTCTAAGCCTATAGCAGCATAACTACAGAGTTAACTCTGGATAACCTATCCTATTTAGATGTAGGCATGTTGGAGGCAGGGCAAGGGAGAGCCGTCTTTACCGACTGTACACTCCACCTCCCTGTAATCCCCCACTTGTCCAGATTTAGGCTAACATCAGATTTTAACTATAAGCCCTATCAAATAAAAATGTTTTAAGCCTATTCTTAAAAGTAGACAAAGTGTCTGCCTCACGGACTAAAGCTGGGAGCTGGTTCCACAGGAGAGGAGCCTGATAACTAAAAGATCTGCCTCCCATCCTAAGTTTAGATATTCTTGGAACCACCAGTAGACCTGCAGTCTGAGAGCGAAGTGCTCGGTTAGGAACATATGGAACAATCAGATTACTGATGTATGATGGACCTTGATTATTAAGAGCTTTATATGTGAGAAGAAGGATCTTAAAATCTATTCTGAATTTAACAGGTAGCCAATGTAGGGAAGCTAAGACAGGAGAGATATGATCTCTCTTTTTAATTCTCATCAGAACTCTAGCTGCAGCATTTTGGACAAACTGAAGACTTTTAACTACATTCTGTGGACTTCCTGAGAGTAATGAATTACAGTAATCCAGTCTTGATGTAATAAATGCATGAACTAGTTTTTCAGCATCACTCCTGGAAAGTATGCTTCTAATCTTAGAAATATTCCGAAGGTGGAAAAAGGAAATCCGACAAACTTGTGAAACCTGGGATTTGAATGACATGTCCTGGTCAAAGATAACACCAAGGTTCCTTGCTTTGTTCTCGGAGATTAATGTAATGCCATTAAGGTCAGGCGATTGGCTAAGCAATTTCCTTTTCTGGATTTCTGGTCCAAAGATGAGAACTTCCGTCTTGTCTTGATTTAAAAGCAAGAAGTTAAGAGTCATCCAATTTTTTATGTCCTCAAGACAAGCCTGTAATCTACCCAACCGATTAGGTTCATCAGGGTTAATGGATAAATATAATTGAGTATCGTCAGCATAACAGTGGAAGTTTATCCCATGCTGTCTGATGATTTTACCAATTGGGAGCATATATATAGTAAAAAGAATTGGCCCAAGCACTGAACCCTGTGGTACTCCGCAAGTAACCCTGGAGTATGAAGAAGATTTGTCATGTACATTTACAAAATGAAATCTGTCAGACAGGTAGGATTTAAACCAGCCTAATGCTGTTCCTTTGATCCCTACAACATGTTCAAGCCTTTCTAAAAGAACATTGTGATCAACTGTATCAAAAGCAGCACTGAGATCTAACAAGACTAGAACAGACACAAGATTCTTATCTGAGGCCATAAGAATATCATTTGTAACTCTCACTAATGCAGTTTCAGTGCTGTGATACTCTCTAAAACCAGACTGAAATTCCTCAAACAGATCATTAGTGTTTAAATGCTGACATACTTGGATGGCCACTATTTTCTCCAGGACTTTGGATAAAAATGGAAGGTTAGATATTGGTCTGTAATTCATTGGGTCATCTGGATCCAGAGAAGGCTTCTTAAGTGAAGGTTTGATTACAGCAACCTTAAAATCTTGTGGTACATACCCATTTACTAAGGATAGATTGATTATATCTAGAATGGGGGCAGTAACCAAAGGAAATGCATCTTTAAATAATTTGGTTGGGATTGGATCCAAAATGCAAGTTGAAGGTTTAGATGAAGCTAATATTTTTGATAACTCTGAAAGCTCAACTGGATCAAAACGGTTCAAGCACAGATGAGGTTCTAGAGTCACCTCTGAAGCTGCCTCACTTACTGAGGAAGAAGAAATCGCATTAGGGAGGATGCTAAAGATTTTGTTTCTAATAGAATTAATTTTACTTGTAAAGAATCCCATGAAGTCATTGCTGCTGAGGGCTAAGGGAATAGATGGCTCAGAGCTACGATTCTGTGTAAGTTTAGCAACTGTACTGAAAAGAAATTTAGGATTATGCTTATTCTCCTCAATTAATGCTGAAAAATAAGCAGTTCTAGTTTGTTGAAGCTTATTTTTATAAAGCACAAGACTATTTTTCCAGGACAAGTAGGCCTCCTCATGGTGCGTAGAGCGCCATGTTCTCTCCAATTTCCTAGAGTTTTGTTTTAAGGCTCGTAGATGAGAGTTAAACCAGGGAGCCAAATTCCTGTCCCTAATTACCTTCTTTTTTAAAGGGGCAACATCATCTAATGCCACACGTAAAGAGGAAGTCACATGATGAACTAAGGCATCAATTTGTGATGGGCTAGAACTGAAAATATTGCCCTCTGCTACATGCCTCTGAGATGCTGAGGACAGCAAAGATGGAACAGTTGATTTAAAAGACGCAACAGCGTTGTCAGATAGAGACCGACTATAATGAAATTTACTTTCATGTCTCGAGAACTCAGTTATAAAAAACTCAAAGGTTATCAGAAAGTGGTCCGAGAGGACTGGATTATGTGGAAAGATTGTTATTTCCTCACACTCAATGCCATAAGTCAGAACAAGGTCCAATGTATGATGGCAGGAGTGGGTGGAGCTATGTATTCTTTGAGTAAAACCAATTGAGTCTAAGATATTACTAAAGGCTACATTGAGGCTATCATTTTCGATATCCACATGAATGTTGAAATCCCCCACTACAATGACCTTATCAGTATTTAGTACCAAATCAGATAAAAAATCAGAGATCTGATCCAAAAACTCAGAGTAAGGGCCTGGTGGACGATATAAAACTACAAACAAGAGTGGTTTTACAGTTTTGCTATCTGGATTAGGAAAACTAAGAATAAGATGTTCAAACGAACTGTAACTATTAATCTGTAAGGGACTGATTAATAAGTCCGAATGAAAAATGGTTGCCACTCCTCCTCCTCGCCCTGTACTTCGAGCAATGTGATGATTTAAATAATTTGAAGGAGTCGACTCGTTTAAGCTAACATAGTCCTCTTGCTGTAGCCAGGATTCTATGAGAGAGAGCAAAGAGATCTGATTATCACAAATCAACTCATTAACTAACAAAGTCTTAGAAAAAATGGATCTAATGTTCAACAACCCACATTTAATTTTTCTAGTTTTCTGCTCAGTTGAATTTGTTCTAATATTTATGAGATTTCCATGATTTGCTTTATTAAGCCTGATATTTAATCTGTGTGATTTTGGCCGTGGGCAGGACACTGTCTCTATGGGGTAGTGGGTGGGTAACAGTACAGAAGCTGCAGAGGGGTGGGTTAAACTACGACTCTGCTTCCTGGTCTGGACCCTGGGTTGTCATGGAGGACTAATAAAACTGGCCATATTCCTAGAAAGAAGAGCTGCACCATCCAAAGAGGGATGGATGCCGTCTCTCCGCATCAGACCAGGTTTTCCCCAAAAAGTTTTCCAATTATCAATGTAGCCCACATTGTTTGGATACATCAACAAAAGGTCTCACACATCACCAACTGTCTTTCATAGATGCTGCTGTTAATGTAGACTAACAGTAAGAGTCTAGGTGTTGTAGTTTTGGAGCTGGACCTGTTCTAATGTGGTCTAGATGCAAAATGGTGCAGAAATAGGTGTTCTGTTCACGTTCACACATCAAATAAAGGTTTCACAAACCACAAACTATGCTTTAAGGGTTCTGCTGTTAGTTTAGATTCATGTAGTCCAGGTTTGAACCAAATAATGACGTTCAGGGAGTGGAAAACGAGCTGGAATTGCTCTTTCTCACTCAGAAACTAAGAAAGGGAACCAACTTCAGCTTCATCTGTGTTTTATTCACTTATTATTATTATTTGTAATCATTTAATATCTTGTTTTTCAGTCAAATAAAGAAACAGGCTAAATGGGCACATACATCCATAACCACGTCTGAGCTTAAACACACGAAGAGGTGGTGCACCTTCACACCTGATTTGGCTTCCTCAAGTACCAAATGCTGGTTTGCAGAAGAAGTTTGAGCTCATGGAGGCTGCAGCTCTGTGAGATGACCAGAGCGTGGCGTGTGCGAGCTAACGAGCACGTGTGTTTTTGCCGCTTGGGCGGTGTGGAGCAGGTGTGGTGAAAACGCACATCAACTACAGAACCGACGGCTAAACCGAGGGGAAACTGATGTGACACAGGTGTGCAAAGGTGCAGGTTTCAGTCACCAAAGGGGGAGGGGCTAACAGCCAGCGCCTCTCTGAGGGACCAGACTGATGATGCAGTTTATGAGCAAAGTGCATTAAAAGTGCAGGTGTTAAAACCCTCACCACCCATGGCTGTGGTGTTTGATCCTTCAGCGTGAGACGTCGGAGGTGTGGCGTGAGAGCGTGTGGAGAGAGTCAGATGGTTGTGTTTCACACTCAGTGTGTGAGAGTTGCAGCCGCACATGTTAGTAACAATATGAACATAAACACTAGACAGTGTTCATCTGCACCAACAGCCTGTGCTCGTGGATTCAGTTCTGTCATTCTGGAATCCAGGGCCACAAAAATCTGAGGACCTCAAATGGCCCACGGAGCAGACTTTGGACTCCTTGAACTTTGAGACTTTGACACGATTCTTATCTCTGATGGCTGACTGTAAAAGGTTTATGGCTGAGACTTTAGGTTGTTTAATAGTCTCATCAGATGAAAAAGAAACCCAAACCGGTTCAGACTGGATCTGATGTGGACAGAAGAGAAGAAACAAACTAAAGTGTGTGAATCAGGTGAGTTGTTCTTGTTCTCCTGTCAGAGAGAACTTTCCTCTCTGGATCGTTGCTTTGATTCACCTTCAGATCAAACTGCTGCGTCACGTCTCACCGTCTCACTTCCTGTTGGTTCTCGCTAGAAAACACACTCGCTGATGTTTTCTTTGGCGGAGAATCCCAGTCTGTCTAACTGGTTCATCTCTGGCTCTGACTGACTGAAGAGGAAGATGGACGTTTATGCAGAAGAGGAGGAGAGCAGAGCAGAACCTCCAGAACCCAGCTGTCTGTCTATGAAGAGCAGCTCCTCCCAGCCCAGACCTCCAGACCTCTGTGGAGTAGAACCTTCAGGACCCAGCTGTCTGTCTATGAAGAGTGACCAGTCCATGCAATATCCTCCAAACCTCAGTGGACCTGGACCTTCAGACACAAAGTAAGAAACGTGTTGATGAAGCTGACTGACCTTCTTTAGGTTTCTCCTCTCTGATGTCCATCATCTAGAGAAGCTTTCATCTGACCTCAGTTACAAACATGAAACCTTCTGATTCTCTGCAGCAGTTTGTGTGTTCAGAGCTTCTGAGATGGTTTCATCAGATCTTCTCACTGACTGATGTGATCTGAGTTACAACATGTTTGTGTTTCAGAGGTCAGAACCACAGATGGAGAGCAGAACCTCCAGGACCCAGCTGTCGGTCTATGAAGAGTGACCGGTCCATGATGAATCCTCCAGACCTCAGTGGACCTGGACCTTCAGACCCAAAGTAAGAAAACAGTTTCTAACTGGTTCTTCTGACTCCTCAGACAGAAAAACAGGATTTGTGGTAGAACTGATGAACTAGTGGAGCTCTGACCAAGTAGAGCAGGTGAACATGCAGCTGTTATCAGAGCATCAGAGCTTTTATTGTTTAGTCTGAAGATGTTTCTCCAGAATCACAGCAGGATGAATGTTTCATGTGAACAGTCCCACATCTGGAGCTCTATGCAGGCTGTCTGCTGCCAACAAGAAGCTTCCAGAACATCGGGAAAAGTCCAGCTGGTTGTCGGTGATGAACAGATGGCTGATCAGAGGGAGGAAGAGAAGTTCTGTTGGTGAGAAGGACCAGCTGTCCTGCTGTTTTTGTTCCAGTGAGGTTCTGCTGCAGCATTCAGATCTGCTCTGTGTCACATTTCTCAGCAGATGTTGGTCTGCAGGAGGTTCTAGAAGAACATCGGCTCAGTCTGAGGAGCAGATGTGAACGTGTGACTGAAGGAAGTGATGAACCAGGAAGTAGAACCCTCCTGAACAGGATCTACACTGAGCTCTACATCACAGAGGGACAGAGTGAAGAGGTTAATACCCAACATGAGGTGAGACAGCTGGAGACCACTTCCAGGACCAAGAGGCTCCATGATGCTCCAATCAGGTGCCAGGACATCTTTAAAGCCTCACCTGAGCAACATGGAGCCATCAGAGTGGTTCTGACCAACGGCGTCGCTGGAGCTGGAAAAACCTTCTCAGTGCTGAAGTTCACTCTGGACTGGGCCGAGGGCTTGGAGAACCAGGATGTCCACGTGGTGCTTCTGCTTTCCTTCAGGGAGCTGAACTTGATCAGAGATGAGCAGCACAGTCTTCTCACGCTGCTCCGTGTTTTCTATCCAACATTCCAGAAGATCCCAGCAGAGAAGCTGGCTGTCTGGAAACTTCTCTTCATCTTTGATGGTCTGGATGAAAGCAGACTTCCACTGGACTTCAGCAGCAGTCAGCTGCTTTCTGAGGTCACACAGAGGTCATCAGTCCAGGTGCTGCTGACAAGCCTCATCAAGGGGAACCTGCTTCCCTCGGCTCTGGTCTGGATCACCTCCAGACCTGCAGCAGCCAATCAGATCCCTCCTTCATGTGTCCACAGGGTAACAGAAGTACGAGGCTTCACTGACGCCCAGAAGGAGGACTACTTCAGGAGGAGGTTCAGTGATGAAGAGCTGTCCAGCAGAATCATCTCCCACATCAAGACCTCCAGGAGCCTCCACATCATGTGTGGAATCCCAGTCTTCTGCTGGATCACTGCTACAGTTCTGGAGAACATGTTGACTACAGAGCAGAGAGGAGAGCTGCCCAAGACCATGACTGACATGTACTCACACTTCCTGCTGGTTCAGACCAAGAGGAAGAAGAACAAGTACCATGAAGGACCTGAGACCAGTCCACAGGAGCTGATGGAGGCTGACAGGGAGCTTCTTCTGAAGCTGGGGAGGCTGGCGTTTGAACATCTGGAGGAAGGAAACATCATGTTCTACCAAGAAGACCTGGAGCAGTGTGGTCTTGATGTCTCAGAGGCCTCGGTGTACTCAGGAGTTTGTACAGAGATCTTCAGAAGAGAGTGTGTGATGTTCCAGAAACCAGTCTACTGCTTTGTTCATCTGAGCATTCAGGAGTTTCTGGCTGCAGTCTACATGTTCCACTGCTTCAGCAGCAGGAACACGGAGGTGGTGAAGAACTTCCTGGGAGACTACGAAGACTCACCTGAGGAGGACATCTTAAAGAGAGTCATGGAGAAATCCCTCAGCAGTGAAAACGGCCACCTGGACCTGTTTGTCCGCTTCCTTCATGGCCTCTCTCTGGAGTCCAACCAGAGACTCTTAGGAGGTCTGCTGGGTCAGACACAGATCAGTCCAGGAACCATCCAGAGAACCATCAACAACCTGAAGGAGATGAACAGTGATAAAGTCTCTCCAGACAGAAGCATCAACATCTTCCACTGTCTGATGGAGATGAAGGACCTCTCAGTTTATCAGGAGGTCCTAAACTTCCTGAAGTCAGAGAACATATCAGACGAACTCTCAGAGATCCAGTGTTCAGCTCTGGCCTACATGCTGCTGATGTCAGAGGAGGTTCTGGATGAGTTGGACCTGCAGAAGTACAGAACATCACCAGGGGGACGACTGAGACTGATTCCAGCTGTGAGGAACTGCAGAAAGTTCAGGTGAGTCCAGATGTTGTGATGATGATCATCAGTAGTTATTAGAGCTGCTGAGTTTAAACAGAAAATAAGTTTATTGAATGAAAAAGACAGAAAAGTGAGTCAGAAGGTCTAGAGTCTGATTGTGGACAGATCATCTCTCTGCTGCCTCTTTCTGCATCGAAGCTTGTTGAGTCAGAACCTGGTTTGTTTGGTTCCTTTTTCAAGAACAAACAACAAACATCCCTGCTTTCTGATGGAGTGTGTCCACACACACCTCCCTGTTCCACACTAGAGCTCTGAGTCCCAGTCCTGCTGGAGCTCTGATGGAGTAAGCTGGACACCAGCAGCACGTTCCTGCGTGTGAAGAGGTGGAGCTGACGGGAACAGGAAGCTAAGAGATCATCTCTGTTCACTGAGCTGAACTCAGTCTAAAGGCTCTGAGCTCAGATGGAAACTAGAAAAGAGTCCAAGTGTTCATCTACAGCAGACGTGTTGATTCTGACTCTGGATCAGATCCTGCTGACAGACTGTGGACATGATGGATGTTCCCTCCTTCGTCTGCAAATTAAAGGTGTGAAAGAGACTGGACAGACTCACTGGCTCATGTCAGACAGTCAGATGGAGCAGATGAAGCACAGATGTGAAGAGCAGATGTTCATCAGATGATGACATCACTGTTTAGTCATCATCTGATTTCAGGCTGTTTATCAGACACATTCTCTGGTTTTATTACAACTGACTTTAACTTTTCTCTCATCACAGAGCTGCTGGTCCTGGTTCTGGTTCTGGTTCTGGTTCTGGTCCTGGTTCTGGTCCTGGACTCTCTGAGACTCACTGTGAAGTTGTGTCCTCAGCTCTAAAATCCAACCCTTCCCATCTGACAGAACTGGACCTGAGTCAGAACCAGCTGTCTGATTCTGGAGTGAAGGTTCTGAGTTCTGGACTGGAGAGTCCAAACTGTAGACTGGAGGTTCTGAGGTCAGTTCTCTGCAGCTGTTGGAGGTTTTCTGTGTTTGACCTTTAACCCCTTAAGTCACATCTGCTCCAAATGCAACCAGAACAGCACATGTACCTGAGGGATCGTCCACAACCAAAGAAATGATTATTATGGGAACCATCTGTGCACGGCTCTCTCAGGCCTTGAATCAGGTAGAAAGAAAGATCCTGTCTGTAAATCCCAGAAAGCTTCATTCACCACACTAATAAAGAAAGCATTAATCCCACGTGTCCATCAGAAGCTTTTCTCACTGGTAACAGACTCAGATTAGCTGGACTACAGGAGGCCACTAGGGGGCGCTGACACCAAGCCTGCACCTTAGGGTGACTCGTCCCCAAGAGACACACTGAAAGCATGGATCATGTATGAGCTCACAATGTTCAGGTCAACACACACCTGCTACTTTAATTACAGAGAAATGACTTTAGATCATCTGGGATTAAAAGCAGGATGTGGAACAAGATCATGTTCAGAGGATTAGTTTCATTTGGTTTAGAGCAGCCATAACAGGCCTGTTGTTGCTGAGTAATAAAATATTCATTTAGTTTATTTAAATGTTCTGTAACACTTTACTTTAAAGGGTCCCTTTATTCATGCTTTTAGTGCATTATTAAGCATGAATAAACTATTAAATACAGTATTAACAACTGCTTAATATGAATGTTAATGTGAAGTCATGCATTACTAAGCAGATAGCAGCACTGACACTCATCCCAGACACGCAGTTGTGTGTGTGTGTGTGTGTGTGTGTGTGTGTGTGTGTGTGTGTGTGTGTGTAACTGGGATCACTACTGAGTGGTTTAAGTACATTTTTACTCACAATGCTAGCTGGTCCCATTCACTTACAGTGTTTTATGCTAAGCTAAAGCTAAAGGAGTACAGCCGGGTCAGGAGAACGACTGGGCTGGTTACAAATAGTTTTTTCCCACTTATCTAACTCTGGGAAATTTGTCAACAGACAGCATTTACATTTTGGGTGTAATATCCCTTTAAGGACAGTTAATGGTTAATATCAGGAACATTAATAAAGGGATCCTTGTTTATTAATGCTTAATAAAGCACTAAAAATGTTTCTAAAGGGCCCCTATTGTAGTTCATGTTTCTGTTTTAACCTGCATCCTGTTGGCTTCAGCTCTGCTTTTATTCTTTATTCAGGTTGAGGAGATGCAGGTTGTCAGAGATCAGCTGTTCTTCTCTGAGCTCAGCTCTGAAGTCCAACCCATCCCATCTGACAGAACTGGACCTGAGTCAGAACCACCTGTCTGGTTCTGTAGTGAAGTATCTCTGTGGTTTCCTGGAGAGTCCAGACTGTAGACTGGAGGTTCTGAGGTCAGTTCTCTGCAGCTGTTGGAGGGTTTTCTGTGTTTAACGAACTAAAATCATTCACTGATGCTTCAGAATTTATTCATTTACAAAAACTTTTTTACACCAAAACTTTAATCTGAACTTTTATTTTTTTCAGAACTTTTCAGTTTTTCCAAAAGTTAAAACAAAAGTTTTTAGAAGAAAAACAAGTTTCTGTTTCTGCTTGTTTAAACGTTTCAGCGTTTTGGTCCTTTCACCTACTGATGCAGGTTCAGTGAGGAATGGAAGTTTCTGAAGTCTTTACTGTACCTAATGGAGTCAGACATGGTGGAGTCTGTCTCCTGAACCTTGATGATGTGTCTGATGCACTGAATGATCGCTAGACTGGATGCTTGGTGGACCACCTCCTTGTAAATGATTGAATGTCTGCAGGTGATCTAGTGCTCTGGTGTCCCTACAGTGCTGGCATGCAGCAGCTGCTCAGGGTCTTCTCTATGGTGAACAGTGTGACCTCATGTTTAACCCTGCAGCTAACGAGGACCAGAAGATGAACTTTCCATCTTTTATTTAATGAAACAAGTCCTGGATGTGATGAGAAACGTCACATATGTGGGTCCATTTTAACTGCACTTAGACACTGAGGGCTGTGGGTGCAAGTGGGGTGGTGCGGTGGCATCAGCTGGCATAGGCCGGATGATGCCCGCACTGCCCAGTCACCACAGCCATGGAATACACCTCATGAACACACAACACTATATTGGAGCAGGCGGAGGGAGACTAGGGGTCTTAGCCACCTCTGTTGTCGCTTGGCTTCCTGGGGCTGGAGGCTAGGAGGGAGATCTGGCCGTCTGGTTGGGGTCTGGGGTGGTGGGTTTCTGTCCTCAGCGTTGGGCGGGGGAGCCTGCTCATCAGCACCCCAGCAGAAAGGGTCAAACTCTGGCAACCAGTGATGGTTGTACCCAATGTGCAGCAGTACCGGGACCAGAGTGAATAGGGTGTGTATGGGGAGCATGAGTGGGTGTCCGGCGTGCATTTTTGTAAATCTTTGGTTGTATGTGCATGTGTGAGCATGAGGGAGGGAGTGTGTGACTGTGTTTGTGTATGACTGTATATGTCAGGTGGGGTCTTTGACTCCTCCCCTCTCCTGGGACTTCTTTTTATGATATAGATCTTCGTCTCCCCTCCCCCTGCCACACCTGGTGTGGGGTGTGGTGCCTTGGTCTGCCTGAGTGTTCGTGGCTCCTGGGTCTGGGGGTTTAAGAATTTGCGTCTGCCTGATCAATCCCGGTGGCTGCCTTGTGGGGTCTGGGTCCTTGGGCTCTGCTGGGTCCCCGGCGGGGGTGGTCGCCCCTGGGTCCCGGGCTCGGCCGGCTAGGAGGTGGGAGGCTGCAGGCAGGCCTGTGGGCTTGCCGTTGAGATCTCCAGGGGCTCTGCCGGCTGCTGGTTGTGGCCCCCCGGGGCGATCCTCTGTGCCTCTCGAGGGGGGCGGGGGCCTTTCTGGTTGCAGTCTCCTTGGGGTTCCTGTGTTCTGGGGCAGCACCTGGATCTCTGGGACTTGGAGCCCCCCCCCCCCCCCCCCCCCCCCCGCATCTTTGGGGGGCAGATCTGTGGTCCCTCACACTCTCTATTGGATGCTCCTACAGAGAAACCTTACATAAACAAGCGCATGTACACACACAGGTGCTCACATGAAGCTCTCAAAGTATGGACTTGGGCACGTTCAACACATGTTGTAAGGCTGTCGATGCCACTAAATGCACTATGATTTATTATCGTGTGATTGTTCAGTTACACAATGTTGATTTTATATTTCACCATCAGGTTGACGTGGTGATAGCTTGATCCTGATGTATTGTTGTGTCCCATTTTTTTTCTTCTATTCTTTCTCTTTCTGCAGGTCTAGAAGCAGACTCTTGTTCATTATAGTTTATTTTTGTGGACCCCCACCCCATTCCCCCCTTCTCCCCACCTTTTGTCTTTTCCTTTCTCTTTCACCTCTGACTCAGTGTCTTGTCGGAATTACAAAGCATTCAAAAACAACAACAATAAAGTTTTAAGTATCAGGCGTGACATTAAAAGCAGACACTTTGATGCTCCACCTGAGAGTAAATCTGTAAAGCTTGTTACCAGCATTCAGACATTAATTCTGTTTGCTTCACAGCCAGACAGGACATGGTAAAAAAAAAAATTTAATAACCTGCATCCTGTTGGCTTCAGCTCTCTGCTTTTATTCTTTATTCAGGTTGAGGAGCTGCAGCTTGTCAGAGATCAGCTGTTCTTCTCTGGTCTCAGCTCTGAAGTCCAACCCGTCCCATCTGACAGAACTGGACCTGAGATTGAATGGCCTGAAGGCTCCAGATGTTAAACAGCTGCTGGGTCTTGTGAAGAGTCCAAACTACAAGCTGTAGACTCTGAGGTCAGTATCTGGGTGGAGTGAGTCCAGGCTGCTGTCAGCAGGACTGGACTAAACCCAGTTAGCATCAAAGCAAAGATCCAGTGCTTCCAGTAAAGCTGCAGCTTCCCAGTGGCTGTGAGAGGAGAACGGTGACAAGCTTCATGATTGGACACCAAGGAGCCAATCAGGAGAGCCAGAAGCTTATTGTGCTGGTTGCTTCCACATGTCTAGAGACAGTGGTCCTCATCCATCAGATCTGATCTCAGACTGCTGGTTGTCTCGTCTCTACAGGAAACAGCTGATCACACAGATCAGTGATCAGCTGTTTCCTGTAGAAACGAGACAACCAGCAGTCTGAGATCAGATCTGAGATCAGTCTGACTGTAGCCTGTAAACCACTGGCTCTGGTTTCGTACAGCAGGCTTCCATTTAGGAACCATGTGGTCTTTCTACAGAGCAGAACCTCTGCTGAAGTCCACTCAGCACATCTGTCCAGCTGTCCTCCTGTCATTAGTCTGATCCAGATGTATTCAAGGACAGCCTC